ATTTTGATAGGTCATTTCACGACATCACCACTTGTTCATAAACGGTTCCATAAAACAAGAAATTTTTTTCATATCGACCCTCTTGGACAGAATTCCAAAATCCGCCTCATCTTCCAGCTAGTGTGCGTCGAATTGCAATTAATTCGATATCAACCGCACCTAATTCCCACGGCCCAATCGAGATCAGTTAACCAGAGCAGTGCAGTCCATTGGTCTCTGGTCCACACTTCGGCCGTATGAAACCGTTTGCCACGCTGATGCAAATCAAGAACACAATGCTGAAACACGATATTCTTGCAGGTGACTCTCAGTCGCCTTAAATCAGTATCCAGTATTTCACCTGGCAACCCAAAATGGACTCGTTTCTATGTATGTTTGTGCACGAGTTCGCACACATGAATGCACATTCAAGTTTAGTATTTGGGCCAACAACAGGTTTTAAATCTATAGAATCCCCGAGGATCCAAGTCCTTTTATTATAGCCCATGGATAGCGGAGTATTTATTTAAAACACTGCCACTGGACTTTGAGCCTGTGCATATGGGAGGCGATGTAAAAATATTTCAAAACTCAACAGTCGTGCACAGACTTGACTTCTGAAAGCTCCAGGGTATGCGATTTGGTCTACAAGCCTTGACATATAATGGGCGGCGTATGTGAAACAGATAAATGAGTCCCATTTTGTATGCCCTCTTAAACTCCAATCTGTAATTAAAACTGGGAAACAGAAAGCCCTTACGCCGTTTTGAACCGATGTATCTATTTGCTATGTGAACGAATTAAGCACTCCAATTTTTAATAACTACTTCCAGAGCTCAGATTGTCGATGGAACGGATTCAAACGGTGTACCGAGTAGGGCGGAAATTCTCGCGTAATCGGTGTCACCGCCGGCTAATTGCCAATTGGGAGACGGAACGGAGTGCTACTACAGAGCTCACATTGGGGCAAAAAGTGTTAGAAGGGAGTAAGGGAAACAAAACAGACTGCAGTATGTGGTGACAGAGGAAGACCAGGGCCTGATAATCAGAAGCGTCTAACGGTCAAACTGTAAATTCTACCTAGTCTGGTGTCGGTTTAGATATTTACACTCATCATTATCACAGCACATGAGATTTTGTAGCATGAGCAACAAATGTCTTTTGTAACTAAACCAGATTTGCACTTTGATGCCAGAAGTCCACCTAGGAAAGGAGTGAAATGGTATAAAAATTAACCATACACGCCTCCATCCAAAGTGATGTCCGCATGTCCATTAACACTCCCTCGAAAAGGCAGTTCGTTCTTCTGCCCCAATTATCTTGTTCTAACAGTCAGATAAGTAAGCAAGTGACTCAAATGAAAGGCGTTTTTCCTCAGTACAAATGACGGACTCAACCACCACAACGGTGTTAAACGGCACAAGACCTTGAAGAGACGCGGTCACACTTTAAGGACAGGTGAGTTTGTTACCAATCCACGTTGAGCGAAGGTATTTATCCCTGTCAAAATTGTTGACTAAAAGCATTTAAGACATTTTCCTCCTTTAAGTACCAGAATGCATATCTTTTTTGCTTCACAATCTGTGATGCCCTGTTTCTTGTTCGGAAAGTGATAATTACGTCCCTTGTCGGAGTTTATTAAGCATTGAAAAAGTTAAGAATAGCCATAGATTTTACGAAGTTTTATGATGAGACTGAAATTTGTTGACCTGCTGAGACATTTACGAAGCATTGTTTTGGTATGAGCTTACCACACTACTTTAAAGTAATAGGTGGAGAAAAGCAATTCAAAGCTGTTACAAGAATCTCGCATTTCCTACACGTCCCATATTCCCAACAGTGCCTAAAGGTGATTGGAATTGGAATTGGATTAAAAATCAAAATCCAAGGACAACACTGTAGTGACACAACTCAAAAGCTTTCTTGATAAGTTTGCTATCCAAATTAAAGCCTCCGATGTCAGTGGTTGACTTTGCGATTCATCCGGTTAACGTTTAAGTGTCAGTGGTTGTCTTTCCATTTGCACAAAAATAGTAACAGGCGTATACTTACAGACAGTGTTTTCCTTGAGTGCACAAATGTCCATAGGTGATTGCGTAGGCCTTGTCTATCCATTATAGACCTTTTCCAAAGCGTTTCATGTTTAGACTTGTAATATTTTTACATTAGGAAACAGAAAGATTTTTAGTATCGAAACACTGGGAAAGTTTGAAAGAGTACAAACGCTTGTCTATGCAAGGTTGTGTGCTTTTACAGTAATGCCATAGGGAGAGTTCGCAGCAAAGCATGCTTTTGAAGGGCACACAACACGACGATGACTAACACTGCAAGCACAGACCTACACACATGCACACAACACACAGAGCCCACAAAGGCTCGTCGAGGTTGATTCATGTTCGCGTGCCACCAAGCCTGCACACAACGCCTCAGTGCATGATGCACACGCACACGCGTTCATCACAGTCTCTGCCTCCCCTGCGTCTCGCTTCCGAAACGACAACGCAGTCAGTCGGCAGGTAAAAGAAAAGACCTTCTTCTGGTTAGAAAAGTGGAAAATTCTGCGGAAATCCTCATAATCACATGATGATGTATTTGCAGGCAGAGCAACACCAGTAGGGTAACAACGGGGCTTGTGCCGGTGGGAGATTGAACATCAGACAGGTCACCTGCAGTCCCTCAGGATTCAGGTTGTGGAAGATGGAATCAGGTGATAAAAAAGGATGGCGAGGACATGGCGAACAGCGACAGCGTGTTAATGCCTTCACCAGACCTGTCATTCTCCTTCCCTCCCCTTCGTGTAAATGTTTTATGCGCTCCCTTGGGACGACCTCAGAATCACCACCCTGCTGATTCCTAACGATAGGAAATGGTTTTTCGCAAGCACTAGAACCTGTTCCTGTAAACCTCATCTGCTCTAAATAGAAAAATTTTGAAATTGTGCGATGTTTCTTTGATTAAAGAAACTAACCTTGGTGCCGGCTTATAAGAGTTCAATAAAAGCTAAAAACTTCGATTAGTTTAAGCTGTAACAAACTGTCTTCGTGGTCGGTTTTGCTTACTGGAATGGACTAGCACATGCGGGACTGATCTTCAGGATTGGAAGAGTGGAAGACCACTTTATGTGGATCACAATGGCTTTAGATAACATTTTGCAGCGAGTTAAGATAATATTTCAACTATTTGCACTTCCACTTGTCATCTATTCAAAAGTTGAAGCTGAAAATCGCTCCAGGTTTTCTTAAAAGTAAAAAGCTTTCATGTGGCTAGGCTACAATCTAGAAGCTTGTGTCACTTTTGGTTTAATGCGAACTCTATATGGCATAATTTTATGACTGCATAAAACAGGAAATTAAATAAGAAAATGAAATCCTTACTGTGTTACGATCCAGCTTTCATTAAAACAGTCAGTGATAGCATTTTTGCCTGCAGCGCCACGTCATATAAGGTAACAAAGAACTGCACCTCATTTAGAGGCACCGGTACCTGCAACGGGAGATAGCCTATTCATATTTGCATAATCTTGCATCATTTTGGTGCAGCGTCCTACAGAGGCACTTTTCCACATCGGCGCTGACAAATCCACTGAGATGAATGTAAGTTCAATTGGTCTTATTTTGACGGTACAACATCTTCAATTCTTACCAAAAGCAATTTTGTTTTTTTGTAATTGATTGGGTCCCAAAAAACGAAGATGAAAAATAAAAAAGTAATAAAGTCCTCAGCCCACAAAACTGTGTATTTAAAGGGCAAGTCTCCTGTATTCATGCCATGGATCTATTTATGCCTTTTGGGACCCACGTGCACGCGGACCTACTTCCTCCAACTCCTTCCCCCTTCACTTGTGCTCCCCACCTCCACCCTTCACTGCCCAAATCGACGCGCATCCCACACACTCCATTAGCCTGCCTGCTCGCCCCTCTGCGACGTCTGTAAAACTGATCACTCTGCCTCACTTCTCTAGTGGGCATGCACGCAAGAACAAGGGAGGATGAAGTCTTGGTGTTTATAACTACGAGTAGATGTGTGGGAGAAGGAGGGAAGTGTGGCATCCCAACAATCCCCCTCACAGACAGTCAACCCATGGCACGTGCTTGAATGTGTGCGTACTTGTGTGTGCCTACGGTAGCCAATGGGTATCGACTTTGATGACGCATAATGTAGCTACTTTTTCATTGTCCGGCCTCGAATATCTATCACTTCGACGGGATCGAACAGGTTTTCGAACACAGTATAACCGGAGTTTTGTGGCTATATGTGCATGACGAATATAAATATTTTAAGTTCCACTCAAAGTAGCACTGTCTTAGCAACTCTATCCAACCATTCATTGGCTAATGGTAGAATACCTTAACAGCTGTAAAACATGTTACAATCCCAAACTCATTTTGACAATCCCAATGCTGCGTCTTAAAAACTGTGTAGATTAATGGCAAGAATTATGCGTTTACGGGTCACAAGATGAGTACAAAACGTCATACTGTTGTTAAGTCGCTACGGCACATTTAAGTTGCCCACAAATTAGAATGGGAAAATGGGATTTGACTGCTTAATGATGTCGAAAACTAATCAATCAGAAAATTTAATGCGGCATTACATGCTTAATGGATTAAAGTGGTTGTCAACGTTACCCAAAACTCATTTCAACAGTATGGTTGGGAATGTAGGGACAAAATTTTGTGTAAATATACCTTAATAAAATATGCTGTACATTTCTAACTAGTTTTCGGATAGGCTGGTGACAAAATATTTTGCCGAGTATGTGATGGGCTTGTGGGAAATCAACTTTTCGCACCCAATTCCTGAAGCAGAAAATCCTAATTCCTATTGGGTTATTGCCATCAATGCGATAACCAATCACTAAGACGACTTCCGACCACCATATTTTGATTGGTTGCCATTGAATGGGGTTCATAGGACAATTTAAAGGCATCCAACCTGGTGCATAAGGCAAAGAGAGCTTTAGATTCTTCAGATCTTACAACATTTTTATTCTTCAAGGATTTGATTAGATTATATCAGGGATGTCATCGCTTAGTTACAGTTCTCCAAGCCTCAAGAAAGGCCGCCGACCACTAAAAGCCTACTACCTCCCGGCATCCACCTCAACGCAATCCATTCCAATCGCTAATAAGTAAGTAGTGTCGTGTATTCCATGCACTCGAAGGTCACCTGAAATCTTTAATTTTTCTTCATTTTCCCTTTTGTTGGAAGAGAGAACAAGAGTAACGTTGGCCTACCAAAAACCTACTGGACAGACAGTGAGGATGCTTTATCGGTTACGAGTTCGTTCTCAGAGGACAGTTGTTCCTCCACCACCTCTATGCCTCCTTACACTTGCAACTCAGCATTGAATCAGACACCAAGATTGTCAAACAGCAAGTTACAACAGCACTTCCCCACCATTGCAGGAGCCAAGCGGAATAGTAGTCACATGAAATGTAAAGACTCCAACAGTTGTGCGATCGCATGCGCCTGTTGCTCCCCTTCGACACCTACTAAGCGTCCTCTTGTTGTCATGGGGGCAGGGGGTCTAATGGCTATGCGTAGACATCCAGTCGCCTACCGACCTTCACTGACTGTCCCCTTCACGCCTTCTTCTCAATATCTCGCACCCATCTGTCCAGTTCCTATGCTGCCACCACATCTTGGCCGCTTAAGCTTGCCGGAGCATGCGTCGCCGATTTGTCGCTCCATAGAAACGCAAACTTCGCCTCCTGAGGGTAAACGGTATTTTGAGTTTGTTTTTCAAAGGAAATGGCTAATATAATTTCATGTTTTTAGCAAATAAAATGGACGCCGGACGCAGTCGTTCAAGAAGGAGTTCTGGTGCGCTTCTCAACTCGATTAAGCAGAAGATTGAACATATTCGTCGCTCAATGAGTTCAGAGAGAACAGGTTCTCGTGCTCTTTCTTCTAGTAAATCCAGTCCAGCCCGTCTGAAGGGTCGAAAAGCTGACGTCTCTGGCGTCACTAAGTGCACTTTGCTTCAGCGATTTGCGGATGAAAGTCGACTCGTTCAATTGAGGCGAAGATCGACTTCCGATCAGTTTGGATTGTTTGTCAAAGTTGATCCCAGAGGTAAGAGGATGAAATCCCTCCTTCCACCTCCTTTAAGGCAAAATTTTAACTGGAATACACTATCCCTCCCAGGTTTGTACGTAAATCGTCTGGGTAATATAGAGTTTACTGGCAACGGCGGCAAGTGTCTGCGTGCAGGAGATCGCGTAGTGGAGGTACAAAATATCCCGGCTAAGGGCCTGGACACAGATGCTGTGAGGAGTCTTCTTCAAGGATGCCATATAGCACTTCTCAAAGTTAAATCCACCTCCAGATAATATTTTTATGCTTACAACTAGCCTGAGATTTACAAGCAACTTTTTGTACATATATTAGAGTCCAGTCATGTAAATATGGCGAAAATGAGGTGCATGAGTGTTTGCTTTGTCCTCCATATCTTGAAAGAGGAAGGGGTACATTAGAGTGAGGCATTATCGAATTCTTGCTTTTGTATTCCTTCAACGGCAAAAAATTACTCAGTATTTAGACAAGACAAGCGCTGGATTTTCGTGGCCAGATTTGGTCCAAACCGTGCTGTTATTGCCATCAATTTGGAAATAATATGCATCAGAAAACATTACAGTGATAAACTACAATTGATCATTAAATGCAATATAATAATTCATTGAATGCGTAGTAGCACAGAAGCCTAACCTTGCTTTTTATGTTTGACGTTAAATTTCACATAAAAAAGCACTCACTGGAGAAGAGGGTAGACGATGTGGGGAGAGGAAAGAATGGCCACGAATAACAGAAATAAGTGTTAAGGGCTACTTCTATTCGATAGCATGCCGATGTCACATGGCTTTAAATATGAAATCTAAGCCTTGTGCGAATGGTTTGGCCAAATGTTTTTTGAAGGTAAAGTTAGAATCGCACACTTTTGCGGCCAATTTAAGACCTCATTCTGGTTTCTCGCATAATTTAATTGATTTGTGTATCCCGAGTAGCATTGAAAGGCGATGTAGGGGCGCAGCAGAGCTAATCATAGAGTTGAAGGGGGGTTCACACGTGCCACAGACGCACGTGCCTCTGCAGACCCTCACGCAGGCACGTACGCCCAGACAGAGCACGTAAAGGATGCTGTCGGCGGGTGTGGATAGGGGCTGACCTAGCTGTGAGGCTGGGAGCTGAACGCTCTGCCACTGTCACACAAACGGGGCACTACCACAAGAAGGACCAAAAGGGAGACGAAATCCATTTAGTTGAAAAAATGAGACAACGGGAACGGAGCAGTCCACAATGGTGGCGTTCGGCAAATTCGATACCTCCATTCCTGACAGATGTTCTGATAATTGCAACGCTAGCCATCATTACAATGTGGCGTCAGAATGATGTCTGGCCATTCAATCCTCAGCTCTTGAAGACGGAAACATGGCTAAGTAGTTTGAACATCGGCAGTCCCTGACAGGTTCTGCATGAACTTATCACCTTTAATTGCATTGAACCTACATGCAAATCAGCTCAACGTCACTGATAAAAGAAACAACGATACGTTCAATTATTTATAATGCTGCTTCTGCGAGGCCGTGTTGAGAATTTCATTGCAATCACTCGGACAATGGTAGTCTTACAAAATGATGATTATTTTGGTGTGCATTCGCTTAAGGCTTGAAATCTGCAAAATGAGGCAAATTTTCAATGGAAGAGGGAGTCGAAAGGGCGACGCATATGCATTTCGTGTTCTACCGCTCATTATGCTTATCTCGCAAATGCTGCGTTCATTAGATTTTAGCTCATTGCGGACAAACAAGCGTTGGCTAAATAGATGCGTAAGAGCGAGGAGTATTATGGCAACTCAGGTAAACCTAATTCATGTTAAGAGGTTAGGCTTAGGATGAGTCGATGGACCCGACACGGTCCCCAGCAGGGATGAAATTTTGCCTTTATTCATGGGGGCTCATCGCTACTTCCATAAATCCATTTGATAGGCGTTTAGTGGGAAACGACAACCAAAGCGACGAGCCTAGCCTTACATCACCCATCTTACCCAAATTCAGTTTATGGAAGAAATGCATGACATAAATGCGGTGAGTCTTAACTTTTTATAGAAGCCTTTATTGTTCGCTTCATCAGTGTACATACCGTTGTCGATTTTTTATCGCGTAAACACAACCAAAGTGAAGCGCTTTGCTGGATTAATGCATCTTCGGTGAGGTAGATCTTTAATTAAATAATAGCGTTCAGCAAATCCTGAAATATCTTGACGTGTCACTAAGCCACTGTCTTTTCTATATTCGAGAAAAATCATCATTAAATTATAAATCGTCTATGCGATAAATCGCCTTGTAGAACTAGCATAAACCAACTTAGATTGGCATTTGAGAGGCTGACAGTTAGCTGACCTCAGTTAGATCCGTAATCTATCAATAAATAGATTCTGAAGCAGAAATGTCAGTGTGCCTCGCTTGCCCTACAAACTAAGTCACGGCTGACAACAGTTGTACGATTTTGGTCAGGTATACCAATTGTTTGACGCACACTATGCAAAAACACTTTTCATACACACACTAGGAATATTTGATTTTATAGTTGGAATAAAGGTAGTTTGGTGCAAACACACATAATGCTTTAGTGAGTCCCTTCATCTATTTTCCATCGGATGTGTCAGCTTTGACCATATAGCATCTCTTCGGGGCAGGCACATTGCGATCGTGTTCCAGCAAGTTTCACACAGTCGTCAGCCTTGCCCTACCCCCTTCTATCCTAGTGTATTTAAAGTTGCTTGAGCATATATGTGGATAGGCCAGGCGATGGTAACGACGCCTACGGTGGAGGCGCAGGTGAAGAGGGGTCACTGTGACTCCACCTTCCACCCCCCTCTCTATCCGGCGTATCGCGTAGTTTGTGTGTGCGTCCTTTGTGTCTTTAAACCCTTGCATGAGACGCTCCAAAAGAGGACATTGCCTCCAGTGTGTACATCTACGAGAAGAAGGTGCTAGAGAATATATGGTGCAAGGAATTTAAATTGTCTGATATATGCAAATCGTCATGATTTTAGCCAATGCAGCAAACACCTGGTCTATTCAGTGCCTCTCTCAGTGCACGCATTACTCACATATGATAAGGTTTGCATTCTTCTGAAGCAAAAAGTGCGTTCATTTTAAGTTTTAGCAATGGAAGGTGAGGTATTGTGTTAATGCGGAATGTGCGCCGTGTAAAAGTGGAAGGAGGTTTCGAGACAGGTGTAGGCCGGCAGGGGAAGGGGGAGGAGGCACTGCTGTTGACGCAGCCCACTTAACCTGTTCTAGCGTGCTCAATCTCCGCTCCTTCAAATTCATGCACATGTAGATTACCCATGTTCCACTCTACCCCGCATTTTTAGGGGAGACGACACCTTCAACTTGTGCGCATCGAATTCAAGCCAGAGTTCGTCAACTTTTTTTGCGATGATGGAGAGTGCATGCAAAGGGGAAAAGGCTCTCTGACATGTTTACTAAATTTTGTGGTAGACTAAAAAAAATGCTGTGATAATTTCCATGGCGTTGAATAACTTTTCGCTTGTGGCAGCACATCAACATCAAAACAGGTTCTGGTGAAACTAGTTCCTTAACGGTCATTGTTTAACATGTGGCGCAGGAGGTGACTAATAAGTTTTTCAGTAGAGATCTTCATTCCAAATCCTGTCACTTACTTCAACACACCAGTATAGTTGACAAATCGTGCTTTGGTGTTAGATATGCTTGGATTCTTACATTTAAGGGAATAATATGATAAGGTGGTCACAATCATTGTAGTGTTAACTAATTCCTCTAAAAGCCTTACAAATTGAATCCACTGCTAGGTATTCACACAAAACCCATGGCAATGAGATAGTCTTCTTAACTTGACTTATCTGTGCAGTCGATTTTAGATCGGAATAAGTAATCGCAGAAAAAGGTAAATTTAAGAAGCATAATCGGGCAAGGCAAGAGCTTGTGTTTGCAATAGTCTTTTACATAATCCAACACACGTGAGTTTTGCCCTAAAGAGGTGGTGTGCACACACGTGTACCGCAGTCCACAGAATCCTCTCTCAATGGCTGCGTAATTTTCTTCGACCTTCTCACTATCGGAGATGGCCAATTTGTCACGTCTACTGGGCATATACATGCATAGCTGTGACGTTATCCAGAGATGATTAAAATCAGTGCAAGGATGCAAAAGGCAAGAATTCAAATTCAATCCATTAAGCCGAATTCTCAATGAAACTTTTGCAAGTTAATATAATTGCAAATGACCACGTAAGTTGCACGGGGTAATGGTTACTGTTCGAAAATGTCGAGCGGAAGGAAATGCATCTCTACCATCTTTGCTATTACTCTCACTCCAACCGATAATGATCAAGGAAAGAGTTAGCAGGATCAGGAGACAGATGACTGATTTGTGTCCGCATGTGTGCGGCCACGCACGATTACCGGGTGGTTCTATCAACCAAAGTGGATGATTGACCCCATCTGTGCCCAACTCCTTAAACGTCTACCTTTCTATAGTCGGGAAAGGAGGCTATGGTTGTCCGCTGTTGACACTTAAGCACTGCCGATAATGAAGGCTTCAGACGTAGAGGAAGCCCGCAATGCTGCTAAACTGCGACCACTGAGCCATACCAAGTCAAATGAGAAAAGTTTCAATTTCAAACTCGAGCTATTAAAGGTACTGGAATTGTTTAATATACATTTTGAAACATTTTTTACAAATTTCAACTTATTGTACAATTGCTGCTCCCTCCCTGTTTGATCCGATTTTGAGTGCGTAAAATGGGAACACTCAACATCAATGCGCAGGTGATTTCAAAGGAACCGTTAAATCGGCTTTATTTACAATGACGCAGGCACTCAGATAAATGAGAGATCGGTGCTTCCTGAATCAGCAATCATCGTCACCCGCCTCAACACCCTCCCATCCCCCAGTGCTATTGCATAACCATCTGTTTAGGTTAGTCCTGACAGTACACCGCTACTAATGGCGACTTGTGGTGGTTACGTTGCCAAGGCAGAGCATGAGAGAAGAGGGTGGGAGGTTAATGTGGGAGTATGGCAACGAGATCTCTATGGCCATACGGGCAAGCGGCCACGCGTATGGCGGCCGGGTTATCGTACGTTTTGAGGTGAGGTCACCATTCTACCACCGTAACATGATACTCAGTTTACCCATCTACTAGGCAAAGACGACTGCGTGAAGGCAGCCACGTTTTCAAACATACATTAATTAGATGTACATTGACACATACAAAAGAGTTGATCGAAAATGTCTTCATACAGAATGAAATACCCACTTTAAATCATGATTTCAAAATCTTTTAATTAGCAATGGAATTATCTAAACGTGCAATGATCATTTCGCCATTTACTGATTGCCACTTGAACGGATCGCTGTTTTTACAAGTCGGCTGAAGTTCTCAATGAATGTCCAAAAATAAGCATCACGTAAACTCGAAATTGTGTATGCACTTAAAGATGAACAGAATGTGTGGGGAAAAAACATTATGACAGCTGCGATGTTGAGATTTAGAATTTGGTAGCCCTCTTCCGTCTCTCCTATCAGAGCCAGAAAAGCTCACACAAATGTCGGCTTTGCGAAATTGGGTAGAGAAAATTTGCCATATAGAAAAGGAGTTGGAGTGTCTTGAGATGATCGAAACATGCGGCCAAGAGTCACCTGTCGCCAGGACTTCAAAGCCACGAGCTTAACTACACGTTCAAACACGTGGCGGCACCACATCTTGCCATAGCCTACCAGAGTGGATTTTGGTGACCATTTTTTATAGACCACGTGCCTATGTCAAATTAGACAACAACCGCACAAGATGCGCTAATACCTATGCTAAAAGAGGCGTGGTTGAGCGAAATGCTTTCCTCCAGAAAATTTTCTCAAGTATTTTCCAGTGTTATCAACTCGTAATACCAGTAGTCTAGTCGCATAGGAATGGACAGTTGGTGTTGTTCGTCATAATTAAATTTAAGGAACGGCCTTTTTATTTTAACTCCTTACTAAAAGTTATTCATCTGACAGAGTCAACCTTTGAGCACGCAAGCCCTTTAAAGCAATGGAATGCTGATGAGTGAATGGTACACTAAGTCACTGCAATAGAGCTAATGGTTAATGGTCAAGAGAACCGCTTTCCACTAACTTAATCGGAGCTGAATAACTTTGTCTTTTAACTTTATCCTGAGGAATGTATTTTCTTTACTAGGCGATGCAAGTTTTAGTTGTCCAGACTTTGTAATGCCATAAGTGCAGTCCATTATGAACCCCAGAAAGCTTGTTCCCGCTTCACTCACTTTGAGAGTCGGTGTAACTTGGAGTTAAAGTAAAGCGAACAACATAACAATATGCAGGTTAAGGTTATTCCACAAAACTCTACTAATTCATCTCTGCAGCCGTTGATAAAGTCAAAAATGAGTAGAGATAGAGATAATTCGAAGGCCTCACCAACTCTGAAAAATTTTCACCCACTTCCAACACATTAAATGTGAAATAGCTGTTCATATTTAACTAAAAGGCGAATTGGTGGAACTGCATGTGTTGGGTCTTGAAGCTCTTGACGATGCCCAAATGAGGGAACAGGTTGGAAGCCATTATTCCGCAATTCAAAGGTGATTAGTCGACGTAGCTGAAGCGAAGACCTCGTCTTACTTTACGTACTATTAATTTATCCCTCAATCAAATCAGTAATTTGTCAGCGTTAATAATCCCTTATGGAAAAAAAAACATTTGACAGGACAATACTTGAAAACAATCCCCGAAGGAGCTCTGATAACAGGTGGCCTGTACCGGAAGTGAAACGACCCCCTCGATAGCGCCCAAATCGCCTATTATCCACAAAAGCCGACAACTTCCGCTCTCTCCTCTTCCGTACTGATCCACTTTAACTTTGAATTTACCATAAAAAATGAACCTTATGCTGCAGTAGCAGTTAACTACGCCAACTCTCTCCTTTACGAGAGTCATTGCATAACTACACTAAAGATTACGACAATCCAACAAAAGGGGGTTAGCTTAAAACACGTGTGCCTGCGAAATCGTGAAGGGGAGAAGCTACAGTTCGTTTCAATCATTCTTGTGTTTCCCCTTCTTCGTATATCCCAACACGATGAGTAATGGTAGATGTCCTGAGAGGCGTGTAAACTCATCACGTTATGTTGGCACCAGTCCATTCCCTTACCGAAATCCAATTATTTACGCCAGTACGCATATAACACCTCGGCCCGGACAAAATCACTATTCTTGTCACAGTCATGTCACATCTGAGTAAATACATTATATGTACATGAGAATTTGTTAAGGTCATTTAGATGTGCTAACAGGGAGCACTTTAATTGTGACCAAATGACAGCCATGCAGAAGACCGCGAATTCCTTCAGTGCTAAGAAACTTGGAAGGAACGCCCTGGATGGCAAGCACCCTATCATTCACATGAAGATAGTTCTGACATGCTCGTATGTGCTGCTCATTGGCCAGTCGACTGATGTAAAATCCATTGGCATCCAGATGGAAGAATAAACCAAAGGGCTGTGTCGTAGTATTCCGTTGAAATTGAATGAGGTAAGCACCACTATCACATTTCTCAATAAAATTTACCTTAACTGGAGCGTTTTCATCCATCGGAAAATTCCAAGTGCTTTCTGGATGTGTCGCTACCGGCTCAGCTTTGACTCGTGTGAGTAGACGATCCGAACTTAAAGATCTGCGGAGATTACTGAACTTCCTCTTAATTGAAGTCATCAACTGTCCACTGGATCCCCTTCTTTTACGACCACGTTCAGCTACGTCAGAGGAAAATACCAATAATTCCAAGAACACTCCGTTGAAGCAATTTTTTTGAAGAAACTTACGGGGGGATAACGAGGTCTGAGTCTCCACAGATTGAACTGGAAAGGAAATAGTTGATGAAAGATTAAGTTGACTGGTAGCAGAGGCAGGAAGCATTGGAACCGGACAAATTGGTGATAGACTTCGGGTGAATTTGGACCTCTCCGTCGTAGCCCCAACGCGTGGAGGAGACGGTGTTAAGCAACAGGCACATGTAATTTTTTCGCGTTCTTTGACAGAAGAAAAATAAGTAGTAGATGTTACTCTAGGGTAGTGGTCTTGCAAATGTGACGCTTCAAGTGGTTTTCTGTGGCGCAGGTTATACGTTGATTTTCTGTCAATTTTGCTAGGTGCAACAGGGAGAGTTGTTTCACTTCGCCTTGCAAATGCATTTGGAAGACCCAAAACCTTGTTACTCATCCTAGGTATTCTGGTTATTCAAAAATACAACTTACGACACATTGCTCCATAATGTTTGATTCGAATTGTGAGTCTTGACGTTATGATCAGCCTTTAACGGAGAGCGAGACCTATGCTCAACGGTGGCAGATGGCTTTTTCATTGTTCGACAGAACTTACACCGAACGACAGATCATCCAAAAACGTCTGTTCGGGAGGGCTTGGACTCATGACTTTATAGAGATTAATTCGTCATCCCGACGTTACCCAATTAACGACTAGGGATTACATTGCGTTTTCGATTGGCTAGTTGATCGCACAACCACAACTCAATATTATAAAAGCCGTGATTACATTGGATGGTCTCAACCAATTAACGTTATTACAATTCGCATTCCTTTTATTGGTTGGGTCATCAAACCCAACTCAATCCGGTGAAGTGTTCAAAGATCTAAGTCGATTATCTCAAATTATTAGTCACTTCCAATTGAAAGTAATGAATAACATGACAGCTGGATATTGTCTCTCATTTCTGCCTGGGTCTGAGACATGTCAGACGAGTAATTTATCACCTACTAGATTCTACTTAAATATAAAGGACCACATCAAACGCGTGACCGAAACGAAAAATTAATACCAAGTAAATTTTAGCTAGTTTTCCAAAACACTAGAATCACATATGTAAGACATTGTTATGGGTGAAGAATTAGCGAACGGTCAAATCTCCCTTGTGTCATATGTTGCCAAGTCGCCAACTTTAAGCCCTCTTCCAAGTCGATTGAGGAATGACCGTGAGAGCTACTGTTCAAAAGTTCTTAATTTCTTGAACAGATGATCACTTCTACGGATTCTTCCATTTTGTAAAAAGTATCCAACTTCCCCGAGAAAGCTCTCAGAAGTGTTTAACTCGGCCTAACGGTAAAAGGTGTCTGCAACGAATTTGCCTTATTTTTAGCAGAGAATGAGCTAGTTTATGCGCTGGAACCAAGCCATGATTTGATAGTGGTGATTGAAAGAGGGATGGTAATTGCTAATGTGGTCAGACATCGGAGATGTTAACGCCTTGGTGTCTGAGATTTTCGTTTTATAAAGGAAGTGAAACTGATAGCACTTTCAGCTCACATTTTCCACAACGAAACAACTTTTGCATAAAAACTTGCTCCTTCAGCTTCGTATAAAACGATAGAAAACACATAACCTTCTAGAAATTATTAGGTGTCAACTTGATGCTCGTGGTCTTTGCGACAAGGATAGCTATTCGAAATATAGAGTAGCCTAAATACTTCGTAACATTTCCCATCGTAGTGGTTCAGCGATTTCGCTAATGCTCTATATATTTCGAAACTGCAAAAACCGAGAAATTACGCGAGAAAATATTATACGGAACAACTCAGCTGCAGCAGTGATCGTTAGACACTTGAACAGTTTACTTCAGCCATGCCACTCTTAATACCAGGAAACGGTCCCTTCCCACCTCATACCTGAATTTGAACAGAGCAAGTCGCGGGTGGCTTGTATCGCCAGATAGGCGTGTCACTCCCTGACACGTTCACTTCAAAAATTCTTAAGGTCAACAGAGGTGAAGAATGGCTGAGAAACGAAAGTGAATACGAGGGCAGAATAAATTAACCAGATCCCCCCTTCCTCTGTCACACCCACTGGATCAATGTCTTCAGACTGGCTTTGGTGAGGAGGGGTGGGTAACACTGAAGAACTCGTCTGTTACCCAATGCTAGATGACCGGACAGTGATTGTCCGCGTGCCACATCCTACGCAAACACAAACACAAACACAAAGTACAGCTCATTTTCCGTGTTCCAGTTTCCACGATTGTAATCACCTCTTTCCTTCTGCATCGCATTTATTTCGAGCCTACCTACTATTAAGTCCTACTTTTGTCCCAGAGAGAATGACTACTTTTACAACTGTGCACAGGATAGCAACATTTCGCTGACTTCTTTGTAACTTTTAGCGATTCATTCAGCAAAGGAAAAAGAAGATACCAACGTCTACTATCACATTAGCCCATAAGGGTAAGCTTGGGTTTTTACCCGGCTGATGTTCGATAGGATGGAGCAGTTGGATTAACCTCAATCATTAAATAAGCTACACGACACCGTCACTACCTGTAAGGTGTCAATCATACCAATATTCAGCAACATAAACATTTGTGGCGTAAATGCGCATGAGTGCCGGCGACTAGGATCAATTTGTCAAACAAAGAGGACAAAACATTGAATAAACACAGGAAGTGTGTAGCGTAGAGGGCAAGTACAAGAGGGGAGGAAAGACTAACCCAATAACCGGAACATAGTAACTGGTGTTATCAGCAAAGCGAACGCAGACAACAGCGCACGTGACACCAGCCTCGTCCAACTACAGCGCACGCTGTCGCAACTGCCATTGCCGCCATCGAGATAGGGATGAGATAGTGTTGTGCCCGTTAAATACCTCAATTGCGGGACTCCGATAGTATGCCAAGCCTAATTTATAATATTTTGAGATTTAATTCGACACAAATAGTCAGCTAAAACTTTCAGTCCAGGTATATGTCGGCTCGTGTATCTTTATTAGAAATTGAGGGCAAAATCAGAGCATTTCTGAGTCTCCGGTCCGGAAATAACAATGATTGCGAACAAAAACACCAACGAGCGCGTTACTTGCAGGGGTAGCCATGGCGGCTAAGTAGGTAGAGGAAAAAGAGGACTTTTGCACTAATGTTTCACGGACTAAATTGCCAGTATCATGAAATAACAGTAATTGAGAAAATCCTTAGAGATATTGCCCAATAAAAAGGGAAATGTGATCGACTATAAGGAGTGTTTAACTAAAATTCGCAGTTTTTGAGTACAATATTCAGAGTAATCATTTCCAAACCTGCAACCCGTTGACATTCAGAGGTAAAAAAGGAGGGAACTACAAACAAATCGGTTCCTTGCATTGAAATCAAAACCACAAGCAGTACGAATAAGTACATTAATCAGCTAACGTAGTCAAGTAACAGTCCATGCTTTATCAACACAGTGTATTTCACCCGAACGATGAATCCATTGGATCCCAATGAGACGTGTTTGTACAAAAAGCGAAACCCAGTTCACTTCTATTTACCACCTTTACGTCCCTTTTGGAGAACACGCAAAGGATTTCGGCGACTCTTCTCTCCACCTAAGGATGTGGAAGTAGAAGGACGAGGCAGAAGTAGGGGTTCACCGTTGTCGTCTAGGTATATTTCCAACTGATCATCAACGTCCATATTGGAGTCAACCTAAGCAAGACGTTACTAATGTTATGCAAGTAACAACGATTTGGCCGTTGAAATGATGGCAAATGGCAGCAATGGAGCCAAAACCTAGTTCAGCCAGCAAAAGAGAAAACAAAGTCGTACTTACATCCATTCTATTATCCTCTTGTTGCATCTTTGAATTGATGTTGTTTTGATTATTTGATGTTCGAGCCCTATTCTCGACCCATTCAGACCTCAACGTTGTGGCCCTAGTAACATTGCTGGCCAACTTCTCAAGAGACGAGTTGACTCGATCGCTCCACGAACTCAAATCCGTTTTTAATTTAGGCAACTGTGGATGAGGAAAGGAAGTGTGGTTCAATTCAATGCAGAACTGCGCCAGAAGTCAAAAAATGATTAAATCAAAACCCCTTCTTGTATCTAACGAAAACCTAATATTATTGTACGGATATCAATGAACTAAAGTGAAAAGTTCAAATGCACAAAAAGAGTACAAACGAAATGATATAGTGAGTACTTACGTCGTCCTGTTTGAAGTCGCGTGCTATAACTGATTCGACAACGAGCATTCTTTTTTGTTGATCCAATTTCCCTACGATCGCATCAGCGTAGATGAGGTCGATAATGAGATCTTCCAATTCTCTAAGGGAAGTGAGCTCCAAACTTTTGAGCAGAACATCATAAGGTATGTGGTGTCGATATTCGCAGGCGGAAATAATGGTAAGCTGACGAAGTTTACGAAGTTGGGCCACGGAGAGGGGAGGAAGAGAGGGACTCTTGTGGTCACCGTAGGTTCCGAAAGAAAACAGGTTTAGTAAGTTGCTTGATTCGGAATTCGGGTCAAGTAATTTTATGTTGTTAATGTCTCTGAGATCCTCGAAAACAAAAACATCTGGAATGGAACGCAGATAGCTTGAGCTCATGATAAAACAAACAATAAGAATCAGATCTTGCCACATATTTGAAGGTAACGAACAAGTAGAAGTTAATGCAAACAGAAACTAAATGCATCAAAGCTAACATATGGCATATATAACATATTGCGGATAATGAGCTCATGAGATAGGACACTGGCCTTAATTGATGAGAGAGATGTACTATAGCCGTGTGCGATATGACAGAACAGAAGAAAGGTACAGTAAGTCCATTAACATGCAAGAAGCAATTCCCGAACCTGGAGATTCTGTTGCTTTTCTAATTATCTCTTCAGGAGAGACGGACGACGACATCACACACGAGCACAGACCTAAACGAAAGCGCAATCCACCAATGAAAATTCGAGAACGCAGGACATTTACCGGATTCATAGAGCTATTAGGCCTAAGTGATTACACTTTCATAAAATTGGCACCGGCTTCATGTAAGAAAGTGTGAGAATTAAGACAAGTATTTACGAAGTCCTAAAATACAATAGATCAAAAATTATTTTTCCATTTTAATTTTTATTGAGGTAGTGGTAATTCGCAAGGGTAAAAATGTTTATCAATACGTGACACGTAATACTTTGTTTTTAAAAATGTAATTACAGCGTACTGAAACTTCTCTTAGGGTAGAAGAGGCAGTAAGTGAAGCTGGGTAATGCTTTCTAAGGAGAAGAAAGTGATTAGGCCTGAGCATAGCCCTAAGGATAGCCCACGCGTACAGGGGTAAGGCAAATATCAAAGTAACCACCAGACATCAGGTGGTCACGTAAACCACGTATTGTACTACCCCTCTCCTCTTTTGAGCCATGTCCATCACGACAAATTCGGTACTTCAAGAAACCAACTACGAGTCATCCGCTCCGGTCGACAGCTACCATTAGACTAGGGAATCGTACTTGGTCTCTTCGGCATTTTCAAACGGACCTGGAATTGCGATCAGTCTGACGGACAGAATTTGAGCCGCATACATACATCTGCTTCCAATACTAGACAATGGAACTCTATGTGGCGTCCTGAGACTTCCCAGCCGGTATAAGAAGACAGTAAGTGCAGCTGGGTTCATGTATTCCGAAGACGACATGGCAAATTGGGTCTGAGCGTGGCTCGAAGACCAGCCCACGTGTACAGGGGGCAGACAAATTCCAAAGTGACCACCAAACATCAGGTAGTTACATAAACAAAGCATTACACTGC